CACAAACTAAATGATAAAATAAAAAATATTAATTGCCTTTAACTCCTGAGGTAGCAGCTTTCTATTGCTAAATAAATAATGAACCTCGATCCACCCTGAGTTGGTTATATGTTACTGAATGTGCCTGTCCAGGATCAGCCTCCCCCATTAGTCTTCTCTTGTAGGTCCCAGATCCCTCTGCTGAGCACGGTCACCTGGATATATGGAGACACACTTTAGGCTCCACTCACGATTCATTTCACCCATGAGCATGTTTAGGCCCACCCAGCCGCATTTGTTTAATGGGCCACAAATGCTGATGTGGCTCAAGGGAAGTCAAAACCGACCCATGGTTTTCATTGCTTAAACCCACGCTTTTGAGAAACTTTGATCTGGAAGGCTACAGTTGCTGAATTGATAAAGTCTGATTTGGTTGTAATTGCTGGCGAAAAGTCATACTCGAATTATAAATTTGTGGGTATACTCCAACACACCACCAGTGTGCTTAACTAGTAACTAATTGACATGTTTTTTTTTTACGTGACAAGCCTTACGAATTGGCTGTGTCAAGTGGTGGCGGGTGTAATTACACATTTACGTAATCTAACCCAAAACACCTCTTGTGGATAACATGGATAATGTTCCCTCTCTGGGTTTAAATGGAAGGTGGGAAAAAAACCCATAACTTTTCAAGGGGCGGAGCAGTGACGCAGTTATTAGTAAATCCAACCACCTTAGTTTGATGCCTGCCCATGACTGAGATCAGTGGATATGATACCCGAACTGGTCCTGGGCACCCCCTTTTACAAACCCGCACTGACCAGCTTGTTCAGCGGTCGGCAATCTGCGGCTCGCGGCCCACCGTCTAGTGTTCGCATGCGTTGCGGCTCTTGAAATATTGCGTCTTTAAACCGAATTCGAAAAAAACTTTATCTTTTTATTTTGGTCGGCGACCCCCCTGAGCCAGTTGAAATATGGTCATACAGTCCCCGATGACTGACACAGTGTGGAGAAGTGGTCATCTAGCAGTGGAATGGCAAGGTGCCTCTACATTACTATTGCTTTTAATTGAGGGGTCCTGCATTGAGATATTTGGATAGTGTATTTTTAGCGAGTGTCTTTGCTGGTGAGAGGGTGAAACAGGACTACCCAAGAGAAAGCGATATAAGCCTTCCACAGCTTTTCGTGATATTTTTCCCCAGTCTCCTTTGCTAATTGGCCCGCCGTCGGGATAGGACAGCTGTAAATATGTATACATCGCTACATTCAGCAGCCCTTATCAGTAGACGGCACCAAGCCCCCCCCCCCCCCATTATGTACACAACGAATGGAGTGGTGGATTACAGGTCTTTAAAATTCCACAAAGTAATTTCCCTTAATAGATGTACTTGAGCGAATTGTTATATGGCCAGAATTGTGCTTTTTTCTGACAACCTTACCTCTGGTGCGCCATATAAAGGGCCATCTATGATAGGTCACTGCAGCAACAAACCAGAGTAAATTAATCTTTTGGCTTTGAAGCGTTTATCATCGGACCAAAATATATGCCTCTTAAAAAAGTGGGCTTGTGACGATAAGGGGACGATGGCCGGTGGTCGAGACCAACGAGATTAATGTCACGAGTGGTGGCCAAAATAAGCGAACATGCCTTAGAGCAGGGGTCCCCAACCCCCGGGTCGCGGACCGGTCCGTGACCTGTTCAGAACCGGGCCGCACAGCAGGAGGTGAGTGCGGTGAGTCCGCGCGTGGCCCGCCCCAATTGTTTTATTATTTACCACTTCCATCCGCGCCTCTTTCCCGCACTGCGCACTTGTCTCAGTCACAGGTTCGGTAAGCCCACGACCTCTAACCCCTAGTAGCCACAATGAGTAAAAAACAAACGTCTCTGGAGAGCTGCTTTGAAAAGAGGGAAAAACACAATGATGAACCCCCCGCCCCCCCCCCCCGGTCCGTGAAAAAATTGTCTTCCACGAAACCGGTCCCAGGTGCCAAAAAGGTTGTGGGAGCGCTGCCTTAGAGGACGTCGACCGTGGAGGTGGAGTGGGTAACCAGCTGACGCAGGTCCTAGGTACATCGCAGGACTGAGCGATAGCGAGATGCTAACCGAGTGTTCACACACCTATCTCGAGTCACACCTTCACCAACCCACAACCCCAATGATTGACGAGTGTGATGAACTAATAGGGTTTTTCCCCTTTTTTCTGGCAACAAAACTGACACCTTTTGCAAGGAATCATGCTTACATTAACCACAATACTTGCAGTCAAATGCAAACAAAAAAGTATTGTTTTTTGTTTGCAAAAGGTGTCAGTTTTGTTGCCAGAAAAAATGGGAAAACCCCTATTAGTATATTTTGGTACTGGCAAAGGAGGTCCCATGATGGAGTGTGATGAAGTATGTCAAAGCTGGCATGGTGGTGGGGAGGCCTTCATCCAGCAGTGGCTTGACACAGGACTGTCATGATTATTTCTGTACGTTCATATTTCCGTAAATGAACATTTCTCATGACCACTTACGTGTGTCTTTTGTTCCAATTTCAGTGTTAGGTAATTGTCGCATCACGAATTTAGGTGAAGATGACAAGCAATTCGTGCGACGGTGTTACAAGTTCAATGTTTGCGATGCACGTTCCAGCAAATGACGGACTCTGCTTCGTGGCTCTGCGTGCGTCACCCAAGTCGGAACATTCGAGCAATATCCAAGGCTCCCCGTCGGGTTCAAGGGGGTTCTCACTTTACACCGGCTTCACAAGTGCTTCTTTTTTCTAATCGTAACTTCGGCAGATCATCAACAACGATATGATTAGCCCCCCCCCCCCCCTAAACACATTGTGTGACCATTATCTAACTGGAAAGAAATGATCAAGACTGAAGGTGTAAACTTCTTTTTTTAAATCCAGGTGACCATAATATGGCTTGTTTATGATAATTCATAATTTTACCTTCATGCTTGTAACCCTCATGAATATTGTGAAATGTGCATGGTGTCCTTTCATAGTGCAGTTTAGCTTAATGTATAACCAAGCCTCTTGCTTTGGGACATTTTATAGATATGGGAAAATGTATCCATTTCCTGTGAGAACATGATTTTCATGCTGTCAAAATAGTGTCCCATAGCTATAACTGCTCAAGCCGAGCTGTAAGTGTGTTAATACTTACATTGTTTCTGTGCTGTTCACCTTTTGGCGTTCTCAAGTCTAACACCGGCGAGACTAGGCCATAAAGAAGCAGTGGCGTAGCTAGGATATTTTGCGCCCGGGGACGAACTATAAAATTGGCGCTCCCCCCCCCCCCCCCCCGTTTAATCACATACCAAAATGTAATTACATGACATGTAGGCTGTGTGTGGCGGGATATATAAACTTTTAGGTTGAGGTGTAGATTTGTGCAGTAGTTTCAGGCTGCCGCGCCCGCCGCAATAAGTTATAATGTAAAGTTGTAAGCCTCATTTTGGCGCCCCTTTACCTTGGCGCCCGGGGACATATGTATCCCCCTGCCCCCCCCCCCCTAGCTACGCCTCTGTAAAGAAGGCTGTCTTTGGTGTAGGCCAATCAGTTTCAAGGACAATGCAATTATGATCGAGGCATGGTTGCATGTTTTGCCACAAGTACGCGTGGTTAATGCAGAATTAATCCCTTGCAAAACGTATCTATTTGGTGCTTGAACACCTTAACACATGTTTCATTGCCAGAAAGGGTAAACACCTATTCTGATGTTTTCATCATTTTTATGCTGGCAAAAAGGTCCCATAGCCATGCATATCAAATGCTACGACAAATGGATGAGAAACAAGGATATTGTTCACAAAGAAAATTTGACAAAGTCTTTAAAGTGCCCAAGCGTGAATGGTTCACGCTTGGGAACGTACCGAGAGACAGGACAATTCGTGATCGAGAGCCGTGGTTCTCAACCCATGGTAATTGGTCTGTAGACTGCTGCAGCTCCCACGATTGGATATTTTTTGTTTGTTACAAACGTAACAAATTACTACCGATTGTATAACTTCATTGGGTTGATTCGTCAATAAAATGCAAGTTCATTGCATTTATGGCTTCTCATGACATTTTACAACACTTTCAAAGTCGTTTTAAGTATATACTATTTTTTATTGCGGCATGGTGTTGATGGTTGTTGACAGTAGTCAGCGGATTCTTAAGAAACGTGGGTTTGGGCAGAAGACGTCGCTGCAAGGGAGAATGCCGAGTGGTCGAGTGGCACCCAAAGTATGCAAAATGATCGAGGGTGCGTCCACCACAGAGATGGGAGCGATAACATCAGCCCATACGTGGCTGCTTTATAAACTGTTGCATCAGAGGTCTTCGCCCGGTAGTCAATTGATCATGGCTGATGACGATGATACATTGTTAATTAAATAACTTTTAGGGAATATTAAACAGCCAAAAGCTTCAACCACAGCTAATCAAGGTCTAGGTATAAACCAGAGAAGAGTGATGAAATCCTACACATAATAGGATACATATGTAGTGGCATAGCACTGGCTGCTGGCAGAATAGGGGATCTGCTGGCGTACGGCGGTCCTGACGTCAGCAGGCCAGGCGATACACGAGAGGGGGATCTGGGGGGGAGGGGGAAGGTCACAGAAGGGGCCCTCCAGGAACCCGCTGGTAGGTTCCAGAAAGAGGGCGTGGCCGGAGGCGGAGCGAGGCCGCGCTGAGAGTATAAAAGGGGGCCCTGTGGGGGCACTCGGGGCTGTCGTTGGAGTGGGACCCCCGTCGTGCTGCTGAAGGTCATCGGCACCGTTCTTCTCGTCGTCTTCACCATCTCGGGGCGCCGCTCGTCAGGCAGCCTGCCAACTGTCCTGGCTGAGTAGCGTAAGCCGATAGGAGGCGGACTAAACACATTCCTGCGGAGGGAGCTGGTAAGAACGTTGGGTTAGGTTGCTCGGTCAAAGGCGGCGTGGTGTATTCCGGAAATATGCCCGACTGTGAGGGTGGTGTGTGGTGGTATCAGTGGTATTGTTCACAACAACATCTTCACCGTCCATATATGCCGACCAAAGCAGACGTTTTAACAATGCATTTATTGCACAAAGCAACTACCGCAAACAAAATGTTGCATTGAACAAATTCCGTCGGACGCTTGTATTGCGACCGAAACGTCGTATTTTATTATATTTTATTATTTTTTCTACCGACGTGACTTTACCGAAAGAACCAGAGTATGGATTCCTGCCGTCACGAAAGCTTCAAATCAAAATTGCAACATTGTTATTACCAAAATGTTTCAAGTAACGCTCCTTCCGTCTTAGCCAATTTGATTTGCACGATTCTAAGTGACACCATCCCCACAATCATAACGCACACAGCACATGCGCCTTTAGCACGATGGTTTTAGCTACCGGGTGTGCGACTGCAAAGACGTCACCAGGCCCGATAGGCCCAGGCACCAGGCTACGAGGGGAATTGGATACAGAGCCCCGTTTACATGATTTGTACTCGACACCATTTCAACCATGCTACTCCACTGACTTTAACACAGACACACGCGCGTGCGTGCATGAACACACAGTCAGTGCCGGTTTGATAGCTTCGTGTTATAACCAATGCAATGTTGACTGCATACCCGTCAAGCCCTTACCAGTGGGCCTACCTTATTACAGACCAATTCAGACCTTATTACTCACCCCGTGCCCTTGTAAATCTCAACGTTCATCCTACAAAGCTCCCATTACAAGGGAGAAACACAAACAGACAAACATTGCTTTTTTTTATTGAAACGGCTGTACGTCGTATGGGCCTGATAACGACATTTCCCTGTCTCAGAATGGGGGGTAAACCGTATGGGTTGTCGGCTCTGTGAATATCTCGTACGAGCTCGTGCAAGCAATGTCTTGTTCACGTCTATGGACAAGAAACAGTCGCGTAGCCGTCTCGTGGCCCAACACTGCACCCTAGCGTTAACGCGTGATTGCTGAAGCATTTGCATTGGAGTTTCTTCCCCACACAACAACGGTGTGAAGACGAAATAAACCTGAACGTGAGTACACCGCTTGCTTGCTTGCTTGACATCGTTGAAACTGCACGGCTGCTAACAGCGTTCTGTATGCTTCGTGCAGCACGTGTTCTTCGCAATGCCTGGCGCGTTGCTCGTCACTCCACGGGCCCACGACACCAGGCGGGTCGGCAAACCAATATTAACAGGAAGAGCCATTCTTTTTCGAATTCGGTGGAAGAAGAAAACAAACCCCTCCTCAATATTTGAAGAGCCCGCGATGCAACACTGTGCGGTGAACACGAGACGGTGGTGGTCCTTAATGAATGACCGTCACGAAGCAGCGGTCCCTCAAAGAGCCCATAAATATGATAAATTCCTCTTGATATGCAAATTATTTTGTCAAGGTGCCCTTCCCCCCTCCATCCCAGCTTAAATAGACGCTCCAAGCCTGGAGTGTGTCATTCAGACTTTGTCTTCTCGACAGACCTGCTCTCCACCTGAGGACGGCTGCTTGCGTTGTGGCCGAAACGTCGTGAGAATGATTTTATTATGTTTTATTTTTATTATTTTATTATTTCCATTCTACGGGACTTTACCGAAAGAACCAAGAAGAAGCCGCAGGTTTGCCGACCCCTGGGGCTGAGAGGTTCATGTTCCACCCTCTAGTGAAGCACTTCTGAGTATTAGCAATAGCACCCCCTTTTTATATCTCGAACAGACCTTAAAACACATTTTCTTCAACATTTGCGAACTGCAAGCCTCGCGATTCCAGCCGTGTGAAAGTAGCAACGACAACAGTCGCCACGGCAACAGCAGCGACGGTATTGAGACTCGTGGTTCGGCCTCTCGCTCATTGTTGCGACTTGCCGACCCGCGCCTACTGGACATCTGTCGGAAAAAATACCTTCAGAGCTCGTCGGATTCCTCCAAAGGATAAAGGTTCCGATTCTGAGCATAACGGATTCTGACATGCTGGCTATAATGCCGATTTTCAAGCAAATCCTACCGCATCGCGAAATGATTTATACACATACAGTGGTGGCGGACGGAGGAAGATTTCAGTGCGGTCGCGAGTGAAGCACCGCGTGGCAGAGTGTGCACGTGACGCGAGGTTGTCTAGTGGCCCCGTGAGATCGTGGGTTAACGGACGGACGGACGGACGGGGGGGGGGGGGGGGGGTTATTGCACTGCAGACCACGTGACTGTGCATTCTAAATCTGCCTACTGCCGATGTCAAATATGCTGCGAATTCTAAAGCATGTATACGTGCACTGCTGGAAGGTCGAGCCGCGCTGTGTTGATCACGAGGGCCGTTTGACCCGACGGGCGCTTCGCTGTGTGTGGGTTTGTGACCGCGCCTCTTGCGTTTCGATCGATCGTCGCAACTTGAGTTCACGATTCGTTTGAAGATATTTATTCTTTTTTTTGTACATCGTGGTGAATTTAGCGCCTCTAGTGGCTGAACATTTGATGCAAATCAATTGCAGAGCATGGATTTTTTTTTATTATTGCACGGGCAGTTCAATGCCTGCATTGTGCGTGTAAAACTCACTTTAAATTGATAATCTGGGATCATCTGCTGCGGCTCAAGAATTTGCTCTGTCACGGGGTGCGGGTGCCAAGCAGCCAGGAGCAGGTACCGGCAGTCACCGCGCTTTCCGATCGACGGCATGTTTTCCAAACAACAGCATCGCCCCTGCCGAGCAAGTGCCCACCCAGCCCCCATCCATCGATTCGGCGAGGGCGGTGCCGCGCGGCACGTGGTGATGTCGCCACGGCAACCTCACTTTCCGTCAGTCTCCATGCCGACCATGCGGGCGCTGAGCTCCCAGAGGCGCCGCGCCGTGTCGTCGTCCTTCCCCTGCGGTGCCACGTCCTTGGGGGCGCAGTCGCTGCGGGGAAAAAATTGAAAAGCGCTCACCACAAACTGAACCACGATAACTCGCCCATCTCAACAAGGAGGGTGAACCGTTCGTCGCGCGAACTCCGGTTGTCCACCTTGGCGGCAGCAGCAGCAGCAGGGCCCCGCGGTGGCGAGATGTTAACTACCTTGCCTGGTATGCAGGAGGTTATGGGTGCGATCCTGACCCTGACACCTGTATATTCGGAGTTTGCATGTTATCTCCTCGTGGTCGCATGGAATTTTCCTCCGGGTCCTTCGTTTTTTTCCTTCCACATTTAGAATCAACGTGCGTTTAGAGTATTTGCCTGCTATAAATTTCCACGTGATAAGCCACTTCGTTGAGCTATCAAATGTGGCCAGGTTGCTTATGAAAAAGAGCAATAAAAAAACAAGTGTAAAAAATAAAGCGTTTTTGACCAGCCGTCGAATAAAGACGGTCACCGCGTCTCACACGCTTTCAGATGCGCCTCCACGGCCGTCTGGAACGCTCTTCCTTCCGATATTAGAAAAGCCACTGGAGCTATGCACTTTTGAAACTAGATTGAAAACTAATTTCTTTAGAACCGATTTTTCTGTTAAGTTTGTTGTGCTTATCCCGCACCTCCGATGAGCAGTTGGCCACATACGGCGTGAATACATCGGGGAAATGGGAAGCGTTAGGGATCGGTTTTCATTCATTCGTTGGAGCAGCCTCTTTAATGATCTTGCGACATGACCTCGATTGCACTGCAAGAATAATAATGGCGGCAGGACGAAGAAAAAAAACACACCCCAAAATAGGCATGGTGAGTGGGACCGGTGGGGGTGGAGGGGTGGGTGGGTGAACAGGTGGGTGAGTGCAGGTGAGCAGATGCATGGGTGGGTGGGCAAACAGCTGTGCATGCGAGTGGGTGAACGGGTGAGTAGCCAGACAAGCAAGATAGTTAAACGCGCATATGAGCGGGCGGGCGGGCGAGTAGGTGAGTTGGTGGCCAGGTAGCTGTGCGAGTGGGTGAATAAGCGAGCGGGCGAGCGGGTGGGCAGATAAACCCGTGGGTGACGGTCAAACGTGCGGGTGAGCGGGCAGCTGTGCGAGCGACAATGGCAGGGTGAGCCCACGTTCAGCGGATGGGAGGGAGGCGCTGCGCGGGGTGGGTGGCGTCACCTGAAGTAGAGGCCAGAGACGTCCTCGAGCTCCTCGGCCACGGCGCAGTAGATGGAGGTCTGCGCGCCCTGCGGGGGCGTCTTTAAGAGCAGCAGGACGAGGGGGTACAGCATCGCGCACTTCCACGCCGCCACGCCGTCCAACACGTGGCGCCCCACCTCGGTTTTCACCACGCCCGGATGCAGCGAGTTCACCGTTACGCCCGTGCCTGAGCACGACCACGCAGGCATGCAGCACGGCGTTCATCGTCGTCGTCATCGCCGCCTGGTCATCATCGTCATCATTGTCATCGTCTGGTTTTCCTGTCGGGGGTGCTTGCACCTCCCCAGGCAAAGGAATCTGAAGTGAGACCAGGTTAAGCCAATCTTATGCATCATTCCCATCATTATTAGTCAGCCATGATCCATCTTGCTGGATGAAGGCCACACGAAGGCTGGGTGGTAGCTTTGTATTAATTCATCCTACCAGCGATTCAATGAGTTGTCACGATTCAAGAAGATGTTGTTGCCTCATTTAGCTGTCTCGTTAATTTGTTTCTGCTTCTGTTTCATTCTTACAGTTGTGTCCACTATTAGGCTAAATCTACTGCTGACAATTACATAATTGGCATTATTTTTAAGAAAACAAGAAATACTTTGACAAACATTGCATTCAAAAAATGCGGGTTTCCAAGTGACAGACCACATTTAGGATTCTTTATATTCAATGTAACAACTGAAGGTTCCAAAAGCCAAACTAAAGCAAGTTATCCAAGATTGTCAAAGAGTAGCAGGAGAAACGTCTTATGTTTTGCCTTCCTGTGTAGGAACATGCGTGTGTGTGTGTGCCGATGACTGGCACAGACGGTGTCAAGATCGGCCTCAATGGAGAAGGCTCGTGAAGGAAGCTGCTGGGCAGCTGGAGACAGTCGCCTTCCCAACACCAGCAGAGCACAGGGCAGTTAAAACGCATCAAGTTGGCACAGTAGGGAGCACAGTTGGTGCCTCTGCCAGACATCCAAGTCAATCCATGGCACCTGGGCATGTCCCGTGACCTGATGATGCCAGAGAGCCTTCGACACTTCCCTCAGCCTCAATGTGCACCGAGCCTGGCACAGGCGCTGTGTTGACGTCACCGCCACTTAGTGATGAACGGCGGCTGCTGCTGTTGTTGTGTGCGTGTGCACGTGCGTGCGTGTGTGTGAGTGAGTCAAGGTGTGGGTAGGCGCTGCGTGCACTTGGCTGGTATACAGACCCTGCAGCCTGCGTGCAAGCTCCCTGGTGAACAGCACGTTGGCCAGCTTGCTCTGGTTGTAGCTCGTGCCAGGGTTGTAGTTCTGGTCCAAGTTGATGTCGTCAAAATGGATTTTGCCTTTTGTCAACCAACAAAACATAAGCAGGTAAATAAAATCGGAATCTTTACGTCGACTGGACGAATCCGATGAGCTTTGAAGCTCCTATTGACACATGTTTAGTAGATAAAATAACATGCCTTCATATTCATACACATTCATGCAACAATTAGGGGCCAAACAATTCAGCCCCACAGTGATTATTTAGGAATTGTTGCGACTTTATGATTTTGAAATTTCTTTATATATATAAGTGATTTTAGTGGACTCAATCCAATTGCATGGCCCACCAGAAATGTATATGTGAATGTGTAAGAATGGGGAAAACATCCTCCTAAAAGAGTGTTCATTGGGAAAAGTGCAACCCTTATTCTGGAATTTTTTCAAAATAACTCAAACATTTTAAGTCACGACGGAGGAATTTATTGGTGGGTAAAATAACGGTCAGAAAAACCCTCGATTGCGGCTGTCCTCTGACACACAGGATGCACGACTGGGAGATTTTCTCATGGATTCACTTTAACACGTAGGCTTTCGCGACCAATATCATCCATAAGAGGTTTTTTTTTGGGTTAGATCGCGTAAATATATAATTGTGTCGTTAAAACCCGCCACCACCCGACACAGCCAACTAGTAAGGGTTGTCACGTAAACAAATGTTGTGGCTTGGCTCTCCAACACACACCCGGTGTGCTGTACTAGTGACGAATTGGCCACGTTCTGCTTATGTGACAACCCTTACTATGTTTTTTGGGTAAAGCCACGTAGGTAAAAAATTAAAATTTATAAAAGTAAATACAGCTATCGTGCTGTGACGGTTCCACCTGAAGACGGAGGCTTGTGTTGCCTCTGAAACGTCGTGATTTTTATTTTATTTTTATTTTTATTTTATTAATTTAAATTTTTTACCTACGTGACTTTACCGAATAAACCTAAGAATACGAATCCTTGCAGTCACGAAAGCTTCAAATCTAGAACCCTTACTAATTGACTGTGTTGGGTGGTGGCAGGTTTTAACGACATTTATATACTTACGCGATCTAATCCCAAAAAGAATAAACCTTCTCATGGATTAAATTTCTCATTCAGACGCTGTCTCCCCGACAGACCTGGTCTTCCCCTGAGGACGGCTGCTTGCGTTGTGGCCAAAACGTCGTGAGAATTATTTTATTATGTTTTATTTTTATTTTATTATTTTATTATTTCCCTTCTACGTGACTTTACCGAAAGAACCAAGAAGAAAACTCCTCATGGATTCTTCGCCTCGTCACACGACGCCGTTCAGAAGACGAAAAAAAATGTTGTTTTGAAGATTGTAATTCTGGAAGCGGTTGTGCGTTGAGGCTGGGTGTGTGCAATGCCGCCCACCACGCGTGTGGGCGAGGCTCGAGACGTTGATGACGCGGCTCGGGGCGGACTTCTGGAGCATGTCGAGCACCAGGTTGGTGAGCAGGAAGTGGCCCAGGTGGTTGACGCCAAACTGCATCTCGAAGCCATCCTCGGTCTTCCACTTGGGGCACCGCATCAACCCTGACGAATGCACACACAAAGGTGATTGCCAAAGGTCCCCTCCCCGGTAGCCCCCGGAATGTTGCATAAGGGTGTGGCGTGTGGCCAGAGTCATTTCCCGAGGGTACGACGAATCTGGGCGACCACTCTGGGGTCCGTGCTTTCTGGTTTAGTCGGAAGGCATTGGGGGGGCCCCACTGCGTGATTTGTCCCGTGCCACGCACCCCTCCTTTGGACGACCCTGGGTGTAACTCGGACCGCGCCCGGCTGCCTTTGTCTCCCCACTGCTGATGTTTACATGCCGCTACCAGGTACAGTGTAACTCACAACGTCCTCCTCCTCTCTACACCGACGACCAGGACTGGTACTGTCAGGCGTCGTTTCTCCATGGCAGCCCCCGGTCGTTGAGAACGCGGCCACCATCGCCATCCCACTCCACTGCACATTCACAGCAGCATTAAAGGCCCCAGACCTCTCCAAGGCCCCACCGCCTCTTTTAGGCCAGGCTTTCGAGCGACAACGAGCTCGGGTCACGGTCATTCGTGCTCGTGAAAAATGCCGCGCGTCATAGTTCTGCGCCGCAGTCGGGAATTCGTCCGTCGCAGTGGCGGAGAGGGGGCGGTGGCAGTGGGGTCGGTCGCGGTGGGAGGAGCGGGGGAATACCGCCAGCGCACCGGCGTTGTTCACGAGGACGTCGAGCCGCTTCTCGGTGTCGTGCAGGCGCCGCGAGAACTCGCGCACGGACGCCAGCGAGGCCAGGTCCAGGCGCTCGACGACGACGTCGGAGTTGCCACTCCGCTGGCGCACCTCGTCGGCAGCCGCCTGCGCCTTGCCCTCGTCCCTGCACGCCAGCACCACGCGAGCACCTGCCCGGCACGCGCGGCTTTGTTCGGGAATTCATTCGCGCGATATTTTATCGTCGTTATTATCGTTTAGTACGAAACACCTCTACAGTTGTTCACTCAAATTCGAACGGTTTATTTTTTGAGTGTGTCCGGCGGGAGGCTCATTGAGCTCGCAAGCTCTTTTTGAAGGGCGATCCCCGCTGGAGGGGTCCTGTTCTGCTGCCGTTACTGGACTGGGCCCCCCCCCCCCCCACATCGCCACTGCTGATCCCCCTCCACCACGCTTTAAGTCCAGGCTGATGGCCTCTTCTGTCCGCCGGTGTCCCCTCTGCTTCCTAATCCCCCCAGCGGTCGTGGCCCCGGCCCATTGCATGCCCCTCCCCCCGACCCCACTGTGTACCACGTCTCAAGGTGCCGTGGTGATTTAGACGCTTCCCAAATCGACACTCGAGGGTGTAACGTGCTTAGGTGACCAATTGACGCTTAACGACCGATCCCGAGCGATTCAACCAATTGTCTCTATGCGGGGGGGGCGGGGTCCACGATTGAATTCTATAATCGTTTCTTCACGTCATGAATGTTTATAATTGTGTGTTTGTGTTTCGCTTGCTCTGCCGCTACCTCGGCGCGCGAGGTCCACAGCGGTCTCCTTGCCGATGCCGGTGTTGGCGCCCGTGATCACCACCGTCTTGCCGTCCATGCGGGCGAGGCTGCGGCAAACGCCGCCGGACATCCAGCGCCGCAGCAGCACCAATCCCATTCCTGCGCTCGCGACACGCATTCCGTAGCACAGCGAGCGCTTGGATTCAACACCTCGGGCGGAACACGCGGTGGCGGCAGTGGTGCCGATATTCCTGAAGGACGCTACTGTACTCTTTCTCTATGTATTATTGAACTCTTTAAAATAAAAAAATGTAACAGGTAAAGCCCACTGAGCTGTATAGCTCTTTTTCAGATCGAACCCACGACCTCCTGCATACCAGGCGAGGTAGTTAACATCTTGCCATCGTAGTGGCCCTTTTTTAAAATGTTATATCAGTGTGTGTGTGTATTTGTGCTTGCTAACAGTACTAGTCCCAACAGTGTGTTAAGGCTATAAGGGGGATCTTTGTCTTTGGAGGTGGCAAAAAAAACGGTTTCTGGCATTCATCATCAGCTGTGATCAATCCACTTCTGGATAAAGGTTTTCCCCGCACCACCGCCATCTCTCACAGTCTCGCGAGGCAATGATCCGTCTCAGCGCGGGCTGATCCGCATCACTCCATCCGCACAGTGCATGTGGCAATCTGGGGCGTGTTCTCTACGTTGGCTGCGATTCCGCCGCTAGTCTCCACTCCCGGTCATCCCTTCGAGCGATGCGTCTTGTCCGAGCCCACTCATGGTTCCGAGCAATCAGTCGTTTTACAAATACATCATATCTATGTTTTATCTTTCCCCCGATGTGAACTCAATGGTGCTATGGGCATCCTAGTATAGAACGGCCCTTGCGTAGAGATTGCACAGAACCACTGAAACGACTGAGTGTGACGCCTTATTTACACCAGGGGGCAGCACTTTCCCAACAGCAACGATGCCCGTAGTCTGACAGACCCAGACAGTATTTTACTGTCTCTCATGTTGCCAAATTGAGTGCATAACCAAAGTTATCGTCATCGGTTTTTTTCACCCGTGTGTGTGTAGTCATTAGTGACGGGGATGAAATCATCAATTCACACTCTACATGAGAACCCAGCTTCACAATGACAGACGCCTGAACCCCAGATTTGAACTCAGGATTTCCACTGTTGATTACCTCCACACTGAAAACTTGACGGCAAAACAAGGCAATCATCGCTCGCACCTCCCATTAGCACGTGTGGCTTCGCACGCTGCTCAAGTAGTTCAACATACATAGGGGCCGTCCATTAATGACGTCACGCGATTTTGGACGATTTTTGATCCCCCCCCCTCGCTACACGGCGTCACAAAAAGTCAGACCCCCCCTCAAATATGATGTCACAAAGCTCTGCCCCCCCCCCCCCCCAAAAATGCTTCAAATCGCTTTAAACTATTGTCATTGTACTAAGTATTTAATGTGGCGCTGCACTCTGATGTTGTAGGAGAAAACATTTATTAAAAAGTCTAATTAAGTAGAACGTGTTGCCTATATTTATCTAGGTGCGTGACGTCATTTATGGACGGCCCCATACACACAAACAGGTTTTTTTTCAAGGTTGTGATTACCACTACGGTACAGCACAACGCAGGGCGTGTATTATAAAACCTGTCCGTCCGGATTAAGCTGCGGTGTTTTGTTTAAAAGACACCACTGGAAGGAATGCTCCACACTATTTCTGCAACGGGGTGGCGGCGATGCCACAGCGATCGGTACACTGCGCTATAATGAACCCACCAACATGAGTTCAAGTCCCGGCCACGGCTAGCTGATGTCAGTGCCTCGTTTTGCCAAAGTGGTCCTGGTCGCCCCCCGCCCTTCACCAGGCCACACTGACCAGTGTGGGGAGGTACAACCAAACAACCTCCTCCGAGTGACATTCGTTTGCAGAGATCTTCGTCCAGCAGCGGATTGGCAACGGGCTCTTAACTACCTCGCCTGGTATGCAGGAGGTCGTGGGTTCGATCCCGACCCTGACGCCTGCTGCTGTATATTTGGAGTTTGCGCGTCTCTCTCGCCATCATCACGGTGGCTAGGAGATGTTAACTACCTCGCCTGGTATGCAGGAGGTCGTGGGTTCGATCCCGACCCTGACGCCTGCTGCTGTATATTTGGAGTTTGCGTGTCTCTCTCTCGCCATCATCACGGTGGCTAGGAGATGTTAACTACCTCGCCTGGTATGCAGGAGGTCGTGGGTTCGATCCCGACCCTGACACCTGCTACTGTATATTTGGAGTTTGCGTGTCTCTCTCTCGCCATCATCATGGTGGCTAGATGTTAACTACCTCGCCTGTTATACAGGAGGTCGTGGGTTCGATCCCGACCCTGACGCCTGCTGCTGTATATTTGGAGTTTGCGTGTCTCTCTCGCCATCATCACGGTGGCTAGGAGATGTTAACTACCTCGCCTGGTATGCAGGAGGTCGTGGGTTCGATCCCGACCCTGACGCCTGCTGCTGTATATTTGGAGTTTGCGTGTCTCTCTCGCCATCATCACGGTGGCTAGGAGATGTTAACTACCTCGCCTGGTATGCAGGAGGTCGTGGGTTCGATCCCGACCCTGACGCCTGCTGCTGTATATTTGGAGTTTGCGTGTCTCTCTCTCGCCATCATCACAGAGGCTAGGAGATGTTAACTACCTCGCCTGGTATGCAGGAGGTCGTGGGTTCGATCCCGACCCTGACGCCTGCTGCTGTATATTTGGAGTTTGCGTGTCTCTCTCTCGCCATCATCACAGAGGCTAGGAGATGTTAACTACCTCGCCTGGTATGCAGGAGATTGTGGGTTCTATTTTGACCCTGACAATACCTGTATATTTTGAGTTTGCGTGTCTCTCTCCCCGTGGTCGCGTGGATTTTTCTCCGGGTCCTCCGGTTTTTCCCTCCACATTTAGAAAACGCGCACGTTTAGAGTATTTGGCTACTGCTATACATTTAAATCTTGACTTAAAGCTTTCGTGACTACAGGAATTCATATTATTGGGTCTTTCGGTTAAGTCACGTAGATAGGTTCAAATAAAATAACAAAAACTAACAAAAACTACGTTTCGATCACTTGATGACGATTGCTTGTGTTGTGATCGAAACGTCGTAGTTTTTGTTATTTTTGTTATTTTCTTTGAACCTATCTACGTGACTTTACCGAAAGACCCAAGAATATGCTATAAATTCCCACATGATGATGAGCCCCTTCGTTGAGCAATCATTTGCGATAACCAGGACGCTTCCGAAAGAGACGTATTAAGCTCAGTGGGCCTCACCTGGTAAAATACAAAGTTTAGTTTTAGTTTTACACTCGGTGGCCCGGCCTGCTCGGCTGGTGATATTGTGAATCTTACTCCCCTCTATCGCCACCCCACCCAACATCTAAATGAGGTCAAGAGCAAGGCGCCATGCCCGTGGTGCTAGTGCAGGGCGGATGCGCGTCTTTAACCCCAGATTACGGAGTTTAATCCGGTCGATGCGTGTCCTTGCTCCTATTTTGAGCAAAGGAGAGAGATGATCATCACTAACGCCCCCTCCACTTATACAGTCCTCCGCCACTCGACTCACCTTCACCCCCACTGACGTGGAATTAAACCCATAATCCGTAAACCTACAGTGGTGACGACCCCCCCATAATACTGACACCGTGATATATTTTCATTACGAGGCAGTTGTTGGCGTAGAGTTGCCACATTGTGTGCGTGATGTCAACATTGGCCATCGTTTTGGATGCTCGTCCAGAATTTAGGAATGTGGAATTTCGACCACTAACTGGCTCGAGGCTTTAGACAGGATTGGAGATGGCACTGTCTCCCTCGTCGGATTAGGAAACTGTCTCGTATGTTGATAATGGGAGGCACATGGGGCCCTCCCGAATAAAATATTATCATTCACATAATAACAATATGTATACCGTAGTAATTGGTTTTTACCCTTTCAACTGGTACAAAAAACGGACACCTTTATACAAGGCATCATGTTTGCAATAACCACAGCACAAGCAGTCAAAATGCAAACAAAAAGAAACAACTCTGATAATGGTAATGATATGCACTGTCCTTGAAGTTGATTGGTCCACACCCGAGACAGCTTTTCTTAGAGCCTAGTCTCCAATACTCTGATAGTGCACTGTTTTTAAATTGTACGCCTTTTGGCGTCATCTGGTCCAACACCAATGGAGACTAGGCTCTAAGAAAAACTGTCTCGGGTGTGGACCAATCAACAGGGACATCAACACACGAGAATCGAAACAAAAGACACCGCAAACGTAAGTGCATGTGACCACATACACTCAAAAGTTTAGTGGATGTATGTTGAACTTCTTTCGCACCGTACGTAGCCGAACGTGCTGACCGGTGATTCGGAGGGCACCATACGGACGCTGGCTGATTTTTTTGTTTCACCGCGACAAAGCCCACAGAGTAAGTTTCTCCCAGCTCGTCGACCGACTACCACCGGTCATTGTGTGAGTGTGCTTTAGTTGCACGTGGAGAGTTCTGCAGAAACCACACGCGCGTGCGACACGTCCCCCTGTCTGGGCATCAAGAAGGCCGCACAGCAAATGGGTTTTGTTGGCCTAAAGGTGGGTAATTATTTGCGCCCGTAATAGCCGCATATTTGTCAAGGGTGGCACAGTCGGGTTTTTTACAATCGGGTTTAATTGTCTTTTTATATCAAACCCGATCATCTGAGATTGGGAGAAATCCGGTTTAATTGTTTAAAAAAAAAACGATGCCTGTCGCTGGAAAAATCGGGTTTTTCCCACCCATGATATTTGTGGTTTATTTTCTTCAGGTTTCATCCCGCGTGCAGAATAAATCATTTACATTCCCAAACATTCCAATGTCGTTTTATTTACCCAGAGAAGCTTCACTGAGTCTCAAGACTACAGGGACTCCTCTACTTACGAACGAGTTAGGTTCCAGAGGTCTGTCCGTACATCGATCTCAAACGTGTTGTACAGCATGTACACTAAACACGGGGAATGGCTTTAAAAGTTGTATAATCTCCTGTAGATGTAGATGCCACTGGTTCTTCATGTTCTACAGATGTAGATGCCACTGGTTATTCACGCTCTGCAGATGTAGATGCGACTGGTTATTCACGTTCTGTAGGTGAAGATGCCACTGGTTATTGACGTTCTGCAGAAGTAGATGCCACTGGTTATTCACGTTCTGAGATGTAGATGCCACTGGTTATTCATGTTCTGTAGGTGTAGATGCCACTGGTTCTTCTTGTTCTGCAGATGTACGTCTCAAGTCTCCTGGAACCCACTACATATATAGTACACGACTTCCCTGAAGGCATCCTTCAGCGAGCGCGATGCCGATCACACACATGGTTCAAATTCGACCCTCGATCGATGGCTGTGCCATCGCCGCACACGCATCGAATAAAAAACAAGGGACAAGTCCTTACTTACTAACAACTCCTCTATCATTTTTCATTGCTGGAGTGGTTGCCCCCTCTACCTGAATATCCTGGCTCCGCCATTGTCCAGCAGTGGATTAAAAATGGCTGAATATGACAATAATGATGATGACCTCTCACTTAAACTAAACTATTTTTATTTTACCAGGTAAGGCCCACTGAATTAAATAGCTATTTTTCAGAAACGACCTGGCCACAAATGATAGCTCACCAAAGTGGAGTATGACGTGGAAATTTATAGCAGCCAAATACTCAAAACGCATGTTTCTAAATATGGAGGGAAAACCGAGAGGACCGGGAAAAAAAATCCACGCGACCGCGGGGAGGGAGAGAGAGAGAGACACGCAAACTCCAAACATACAGCAGGCGTCAGGGTCGGGATCGAACCCACGACCTCATGTATACCAGGCGAGGTAGTTAACATCTCCTAGCCACCGTGATGATGATGAAAGACACGCAAACTCCAAACATACAGCAGGCGTCAGGGTCGGGATCGAACCCACGACCTCATGTATACCAGGCGAGGTAGTTAACATCTCCTAGCCACCGTGATGATGATGAGAGAGAGACATACAAACTCCAAACATACAGCAGGCGTCAGGGCCAGGATCGAACCCACGACCTCATGTAAACCAGGCGAGGTAGTTAACATTTCCTAGCCACCGTGATGATGATGAGAGAGAGAGACACGGTTTTGCCTGGAGTCCTCCGGTGTGTCCCCACCCCCCAAGTTAAAGCCAAACAGACACTCGTGAGTGTAACTGGCCAGCTATCATCCCCCAATGTGGAAGGATTCCTTCTGAACAAGGGGGGGGGGGGAGGGCCTTGAAACTCCCAAGGCCTTTCCGAGATAATTGGCAAGGCGTCTATTTATTTATTTGTTACCACTGCCCTGGAGAGAGGGGTGACGTCGGTACGCACGAAATACGTCACGCGGAAATGGGCTGTGACGTCACCAACGCAGACTTGCCCGCGCGCGCCCAGCCAGACAGCAAACCTTTTAAACATGTACAACACAGTAGGCTCTTGTATGCGATACAACGCAAATTACTAAACCTCGTGACCTTAACGGGTTTGTTAAACTATGCCAGGCATGGCAATTTGCTCTGAAATCCATATCCGCGCTACATTAACGCCGCTCCTGTGACCCGGGCACCGCTGTTACGCAGCAGTGCTGGAGAGACCAGGGGGTCCCCAACCCCCGGGGCCGCAGGACCGGCACCGGTGACCGTGGCCTGTTAGGAACCAGGCCACACAGCAGGAGGTGAGAGCGGTGAGGCCGCACGTGGCCCGCCCCCATTGTTTTATTATTCACCACTTCCGTCCGCGCCTCTTTCCCGCACTGCGCACTCGTCTCAGTGTCACAGAGTTTTGGTCAGCCCACAAGCCAACCCTAGTCAAAATTAGTATAAAAAAACCAATGTGGCCGAAGAGATTTTTTTAAAAGGGGGAAAGACCCAATGATGACCCCCACCAACCTGGTCCGTGAACAAATGATCTTCCACGAAACCGGTCCCAGGTGCCAAAAAGGTTGGGGACCGCTGCAGTGTGGAATGTAGACAACAACACCACCACAACTTCTGCTGCTGCTGCAACCAACACAACAGCTGCCACTGCAACTGTTACCCACGACCTTACACCTCTGTCGCCTTCGCTCGCAAGCACGTGGCACTGTGCAGCTTGCAGCTAACGCCGCGGATTCCCTGCAGCCCGAGGAAGTTCGTGCGGCCGCCGCCTATCACGGAACCTTCAACACCATTGTGAATCAAACGCGAATTCGCGAACCTGGAGCCCGCAAAACGGCGCGTCTCGCCGCAGCTGTCGCCGTGAAACAGCTGCTGCTGCTGCAACCAAATGCACAGCTGTCGCTGCTGTTGCAGGTCAATAACGCAGCTGGCAGTGCTGCTGGAGCACACAGCCACGCATCGTGCCAATTCATTACAGCTGTAAGCGACAGGATCCTTACACAGCACAGCGCGTCAAACAAAGAGATAAAGATGCCCCTGATAGCCTTTGACAGACCGTCGGGGCAAGTGCCGTTGGCACGGCGCACGAGGTGGCCGGGACCACGCCCGGTCGCCTTCTCACCCCTCCCACCCCCACCAGCGCCGATGTTTACGCAGCGCACCGGGTGCCCATTTAAGGCTGAGTCGACCTAGGGGAGGCACCGAACTGGCTCTTATATTCGTTATTGGTCGTGAGCGGGAAATCGAACTCGGGTCGCCGGGTTTCGTAAGCGCAGTGCGCTAACCCAGTGCGCCACCGCTCCCCACGTACAAAGACAAAGATCCCCCGTGTAGCCTTTACGGACTGTAGCGTCACGGATATAAATATTGTTGCGAAAGGTCATGGGAAACTCAGCAGTTCGGTGACCACAATGATAAAGATCCCCGGTATAGCCTTGACAGACTGTAGGGGCAAGTGCTGTGAGCGAGTAGCACCGATGAAGGTCGGCACGGCACTCGAGGGGGTGGGGGGTGGCCAGCACCACGCCCGGCCGTCTTTGTATCCCCCCTCCCCCCCCCCATAGTGGCGATGTCCATGTAAAGGCAGAGCAGGCAGGCGACTCGGGACACCCCGAGCGCGTTCATCTTCAACGCGACCACTCCTGCCGTCCTCACAAGGATAACTAAGAATATGAACACATGGTAAGACTGTACACGTGTGAACATGAACGCGATGAATATCGATGCCGTTCCTACCACCCCCACCCCCCCCTCGTCTTACCGGCGGTGGTGAGCACCGCGATAGGAGCATAGTGATCGTTGAAGACCTTCTTGAGTTCGTCCATCGTGAAGGACGTCACCTCGATCATCTTTCCCGTCTCCGCACGTCTGCCTCTCTCTCTCGGCTCCGTCTCGGATACTTGAGGGCGCGCGTGGGGAGGGAGTGGTGGTGGTGGGACAGAAGGTTGGGCTAAGCGTGGGTAAACGCACACCGAGCGCATTGGACGCGTTTTCCTCCTCCCCTTCCTCCCTCCCTTCCCCTCCTCCTGCTCGCCCTGCTCGCCCGGGTCGGAGCGTGTAACGTTGGCGAGAGCGCCGCCTAGCGGACAAATTAAAAGGTGGCAGTGCTTCGTTATTTTATATTTTTTGGTGAATACGCGGAGTCCACTGCGTTGGCAGTGCGGGAGCGTTGGGTCCACCACGTGGAACACACGCGGTGCGCTGTACAGCACGCGGTGGCGAGATGGTGACTCCCTCGCCTGGCATGTCGGAGCTTCGTTTAGTTCTCAGTTCAGTTCATTTATTAGGTATAGCCCTGTGAGCCATGCGGCTCTTGAATCGGGTGCAAACGCAACAAACAAAAACATGAACAAGAAACATCTTAAAGTGACTACGCACAACAGAAAAATTTCAGGAAAAAACAGCAAATTATTCGTGGGGTCAAACCCATTCCTGACGCCTGCTGTATATTGAAGTTTGCATGTCTCTCTCTCTTTCACCGTAGTCTCTTGAATTTTCTCCCCGGTTTTTGCCTCCCAATTTATAATCAAAGTGCGTTTAGAATATTTGGCGAATGCTATACATGTCCACGTGATAAGCCACTTCGTTGGGTTATCGTTTGCGGCCGGGTCATTTCTGAAAAAGGGCGATATAGCTCAGTGAGCCTTACCTGCTAAAATAAAATTAGTTTCTAGTTCTTTTTAATAGTTTCATCGTGTAAGAATACATGCCCACAAAACAATAATGGCCCTAAAAAAGTAAAAATCAATCGGCGACATTTCGGAAACGTACGCTAGATAGCAGAGCGATGTTTGTTGAAACTTCGGGCTTGCGCTTCGGGCAATGATGGCCTTATTATGACAGACACCGAACAACATCCCTTGCTCTGAACAAGAGCCATTGGCCGAAATGTCGCCTATTTTGCTCGCAGGGCAGCAGATACCCCTCTGGGTGGCATTTACCAGTCACGTAACTCGCGTGGAGGCAGGAGGTGCCTTGCCCCCCCCATCCCCCTGGTGGCCAAAGCTACAACACTGATGTCATGATGTGCTTAGGCAAGAGGAGCCACGAGATAGATATAAATAGCCTCGGTAACAACCGTGCGAGACAAATCACATTTTGGGGCCCCCATGTGACCGATTGCCCCACCCCCTTGAGCTGATAATAATGGACTCACTACGCCACTGGCATGAACGTGTTGGCTGTGCAAGTTTGTCAAGCGCCACCCCTGGGACACCACCCTTGCCAACGAGATGTCCCATCTCGACGGAGTTTTCCAGATGGACGGCCGCCGGAATCCTAGGCGGTGGTTAAAACGGGTTCCCGATTGTAGCCAGTTGAGCGGTCTCAGCCCCGTCACTCGTGAATGCGCAAAGAGTCGTCCAATTGGTGCATTCGCTGTTCAGGACTTAATCTGGAAATGTTCCAGCTCTCAGGGCGACGACACGGTTTGAACTCCACTCTACAGTCAGGGGCAGAGGGGGGGGACGGTATGGGGGGCCCGTGACTGTACGTATCTCGAATGTAGTCCTGTGATATCCTGTTCCACGGTACATTTTCCTAACGTCGAGGGGGTTACACCGGCTGTGCGAGACATCCAAATGGATTATTTATTCCTCCTCGTAACGTGACACCGATAGCACCAAAATTGGGGCAACGTTGAGAGTCTAGCGGGTGGGAAAGAAACGCAGACGGAAATGCCGCTTGAGGTATTCCGTGAAAAGCGACCACGTGAGTGCGGTTTGTGTGGCATTAAAACCCGCTCCGTGGCTGCTGGCTAAACGAATGAGTTGGTACATTAATTTCTGCACGTCAGTCACAGTACAGTACCCTGATAATTATACAACGGTGTTTTACGTTGACTTGAAAAGAAAAAATCTCAAGGTCCCCTTTTCAAGAGGATCATGTTTGGCATTTGTATTTGTTTAATGAATGTTTCTGGAAATAAAACACTCGATTTTAAAGGTCAAAAGTATCCGCTGCTTACGCGTAAAATGTATTACCACATTTTTAAGCGAATTGCCAATTTAAACATGTTGCTACCACTTCTCTTTCTTGGCCAATGTGTTGATCTAAGTGATTCTACGGGGGTATTTGAATAGTACTGTTCAGCCAAGTACATTTTTTTTGGTCAACATACTTGGGTATAATAATGATAATTGCTTTGTACCCTTTTATCTGGCAACAAAACTGACACCTTTTTTTACAAGGAGTCATGTTTGCATTGACCACAAAACCTGCGGTCGGAATGCAAACAAAAAACACAACTTTGATAATGTATGCACTGTCCTTGAAATTGATTGTTCCACACCCGAGACAGCTTTTCTTAGAGCCTAGCCTCACATGGTGTTGGACCAGATGACGCCAAAAGGCGCCAAAAGGCGCACTGGTCCAACACTATGTGAGGCTAGGCTCGAAGAAAATCTGTCTCGGGTGTGGACCAATCAATTTCAAGGACAGTGCATACAATATCACTTGCCACAACAGTCTGTTAAGGTTTTACCGGGGATCTTTGTCATTGTGGTCACTAAACTGCTGAGTTTCCCAAGATTTAACTACACATATTTGTACCATCTTATTTGACAGGTAATATTCTACTTTACCGAGTGTTGACATCCCCAGCGTTTACCAGTACTTTTATGCTTACTATCAGCTAACACCGGCCACAACCCTGAGCCGATTTGCTCATTTGTTCCCTTTTAGCACCGCCACTCCCCGGCACTCCCCGGCAACCACATTCAGATAAGCCCCCCCCCCCCCCGTAACTTGTATTTAAGGGCTTGTCTCTTGGATTATTCCTCACTTGATACAGTAAATTTATCTGTGACAGGTCCCACCTGATGACGGAGACTTGTGTTGCCTCCGAAACGTCGTGATTTATTATTTGATTTCTATTATTTTGTATTATTATTTCTTTTTATTTTTTACCTACGTGACTTTACCGAAAAAAACCTAAGAGTATATTTCCCATGACCTTACAAAACAATATTTATATCCGTAGATAAACACGTTTAAAAACACTGTGTAATGTACAATCACATCATCATTGAGCCCATATTGTCTGAACTGGTGATATCGAGGCTCCACCACTTGTCGGGAGATGGGCATTGATTGCGTTCGGGACAAACTGGCCCCTGCCAGAAAAGCTATGGGCCGTGGAAAACCGGTTTGGAAGACAAGAAAGTGTTGTCAAGTGAATGCCAAGAAACGGGTATTTGAAGCAGGGGTGCCGGCTGTCTTACTCTCTGGCACTGTTTCTTCACTCGTTTTCAGAGGGGGGGGGGGCACTTTCGCCGGTAAGACATCGCCAATGTGAGGGCCGCCACACCATTTGTCACCATTGGGGGTTTGACAGCATCGCGATGATGATGGGGGGTGTTGTCACCACTGATGTATTGTTGGGGGGCCGCACTCAAGGCCACCAGGGGCTGCCAGTGACCCGCGAGCCTTGCTACGAAGAACATCGCTCTATGGAGAGAGCTGGGTGCTGTAAGCAGCACGCAAATAAAGTTGTCATTTGGGGGCAAAGTGCCTGCTGTGACATATCCTGGACATGTCGTGGGGCTACACAGACGGAATAGGCGATGTGGAAGTTTGCAAGAGGACGCGCCGGGAAGTGTTGTCGATACGATAACGGGGGGGGGGGGACGGTCGCATACCGTTGGACGTGTGCATGTATGTATGTTGAACCTCTTTCTCACCGTACGTAGCACTGGATGGTTGGCAGAACTGCGGCCGGGTACGGGTAGCCGTTTGCGACCCTGGTGCGGCCGGGTACGGGTACGGGTAGGCCGTGAGTCACTGGTGAGTAACCGTTTGTCACTCATTTCGGGTAGGGAACGGGTACCCATTTGCGACCCTGGTGCGGCCGGGTACGGGTAAGGAATCAAAACCCGTTTGCGACCTCTGCAGTGAAGGCGACGGTTCGTGGATTACAAAATAACCGTTGCGGAATTCCCTTCCTGTGGGTGGCCGTCGAGATTTCTCGTCATGACCCTGGCTCGCCAGGAGACGGCACTACAGCAAAACAAATGTGTGGACTCCTCCTCTTCGGAATCGGAACGTTGATTTATACCGGAGAATCCGGTGAGCTGGAAATCTTTTTTTTTGTCGCAGACGTTTGGGATCGAGCGTTTCCCCCCTCGCTCGTGATCGTTTTCTCTGGGTGCTCCGGTTTCCTCCCGCACGTAAACACACTCATCAATTGGCCGACAGCGCCTCGATATATGTAGAGGACCGCAGAGCGCGGGCAATTGTTGCCGCCGGTTTCTCGCGCGGCTGCCTTCCTGCTTGTCCGTTGTCCCCTCGCGCCTCTGAGTCGTTCTCTCTAGACGAGTATGAGCGAATACTGATGCAGCTCGTTACAAGTCGAATGTTATCATTCGATTAATATTTATACCTACTATAATCACCCAGGAATGTCCCTAACGCTCGCGACGTCACTCCACATCGACCAGCCCCCCTCATGAATATTCATGAGCAGGTGACGTCCTCCAAATGGACACCCCCCTCCGCCCTTCCTCATTAATAATCATGAACAGGTGACGTAATTCCAAATCGAACAGCCCCCCTCATTAATAATCATTATAAGGTGACACCCCCCCCCCTCCATTCATAATAATTAGCGGTTGACGTCACTCCACATGGGGGGGGGGGCGAGGCGCCTCCTCCCCCCTCCTCAGAGTCAACTTACAACCCTCACTACAAAGGCAGTACCCTCACGTCACGCGATCTCCGTCACGCTGTTGAGACATCGAAGTAAAAAGGACGTCATGATCAACAAGGGATTATAACCTTGAAATTAAATAGCTCTGTGTCACCACGCCCTTAAAAATTGCACACGAATTGATGCAATGAATATATCACGCCGCGGTCTGTGCTTTTCGCTTGCAAGTTTCAGATTTATTGCAATACACCCGG